AGGTTACATATGCACAAAGGAAAAAACAACAACCAAAAAACCCCCAAACCCCAAACAAAGCAAATCAAAAACCAATCAGGCAACTGCAAATAATGGAGTAAGAGAATTAGTTATACTGAATCCTTTTCGATCCCCCTGCCCCAAAGAGAAATGTCTGAGTTGTCAGGCATCTCCCTAACATTAACCTCTCTACAATACTCATGAAGCAGATGTCAGGCACTTCTAGTTTTATAGATGAAAGAATCTGAAGACTTATAATTTCCTCCAAGGTCACATACAAAGTTAGAGATCAGATTAAATTAAGCTCTCATACTTTGTACTCACAATCACTTCCAATAAGAAAAAAAGTTTCACTTTAATGTTACATTCCTAATAAATAAAGGTTACAATTACTTCACTCTATACACTGTCCAATTACATATGTCCTGTCCAATAAGGTAGTCACTGGCCACATTAGGCTATTAAGCACTTAGAATGCAGCTGGTCTAAAAAGAAATGTTCTAATGGTAAAACAAACTGGATTTTGAAAAGCTAGTGTAAAAGAAATAATGTAAATAAAATACAGATTAAATGTTATAATGGTACTCAGGATATACTAGGCTAAAATTCATTGTATAGCAATGGTCCACACTGCTTCCCAAAAGACCCCTTCCCAAAGAGAATTCATAAGAGCTAAACCAAACAGCAGTATTCTACATACATTACATATTTAACACAGAAACTACATCTGGAGGGGGAGAAAATGGGCATACATGTTTTTGAAAGATACAGGTATGTAAGTAACAAATACAGACTATTACAGTGCTCTATGAAGGTAATAAATGATGTTCCTGTCTCATTACAAGTATACATGATTTTTAGAAGCTTTTGTTTTCTTCCATGGTGCTGGGGATCAAACCCAAAGCCTCACACATATTAGGCAAGTGATTTGCCACTGAATGATGCCCTCATATGTGATCTGAGTAAGCCCCAGAAATAAAATATGACTTTCCATTAGAGTCAAGTCTTTCCAGGTGGAAAAGTGAAAACATTCCTACTTCTAGGTAAATACATGGATCACAGTCATCAGAGGGTAGCCACACGTATTATGAACTTCTCATGTCTAACATGTATTTATATATATATTTATTTTGGTCTTTTTGAGACAGGGTATCCCTGTAGCCCCAGGTGGCCTGGAACTTACTATGTAGACCAGGCTGGCCTCACAGAGATCCACCTGTATCTGCTATGATCAAAGGCATGTACCACCACACCCAGCTTATATTTATTTTTAAAAACCACCTATCACGGGGCTGGAGAGATGGCTTAGAGGTTAAGAGCACTGGCTGCTCTTGCTGAGGACCCAGTTTTGGTTCCTAGCACCCACATGATAGCTAACAACCATCTGTTAACTCCAGTTCCAGGGGATTTGATGCCCTCTTCTTGCCTCCATGGGCACTACATATATGGGTGCACTTACATACACGAATGTAATACACTCATACACATAAAAATAATAAACATTTAAATAATCACCTATCATAATATCCAGGTACAGTCAATAGTTTATCTGATTTTGACTGTGGTGAAGGAAATTGATTTTAATTTTTTTCAAAGGATAATTTTCAAACAGGTATGGTGGTACATGCCTGTAATAAGCACTGAGGAGGCAGAAACAGAGATGCCATACATACAAAAGAAAGACAACAGTATGGGCAGGGTAGGTATGGTGGCACATACCTGTAATTTCAGTATTTGGGAGGTTAAGGAAAGATTTTAAGTGCAAGGCTATCCTGGGCTACAACTATATAGTGAAACCTTGTCCAAAGGCGGGGGGGGGGGGGGGGG